ACATGGCAAAAAGCAGTAATGTTCTTCAGGACCATAATTCTGTTTCCACATACTACATGTTAATCATCAGTGTAGTAAATAAATGAATTGTCACAGATTAATAAAGTGATTAATATTTTTAAACTAGCCCTAAAATATCAAAATCATGTTCATAATGGATTTAGAAGAATGTGACCATTATTTAATGGATGGTCTCTTCAAAGTGTTGTAGGTCTCTGCCTTTGAAATCTTTTTGACTGTTTTTAGAGTATTTAAGTGCTTATATGAGGCAAATCTTGACAAATTCAGTCTTCACTGTAAACAAGTTCTTTTAGCTAATAATAACCTTAGAAGTTTTAAGAATGTGCAGGCTTTTGTGTGTTTTTCTGTTTATAGCAGTGGTTCTCAAACATCAGGATCACTTTTGGAAACTTTTTAAGAATCAAGCTCTCCAGCCCTGGCTGGGTGGGTCAGTTGGTTGAAGCATCTTCCTGTACACCAAAAAAATTGTGGGTTTGATCCGCATTTGGGAGACAACTGATTGATGTTTCAGTGTTTCTCGCCCTCTCTCTCTCTCTAAACTAATAAACATACCCATGGGTTAGGATTTAAAAGAAGAAAAAAACAATTGGTCTATACAGAAGCCGTTAACTATAAAAATTTCTGCTGAGATGCAAGAATAACAGATTTAGTCCCAGTTATGTGCTTATACATTGCATGAGTTTCTGAATGAAATTGTTCAGTGGTAAGTGTTACATACAAACCTTGGCATCCAAATTTAAACTTTCAACTATGTCAATATGTAGACTTTATAGTTACTAAGCAATTTTATAAAAATTGAAATTAGGTTATTTTCATGGCAGAGATTGAGGTATGTTAGTAAGGCAGTTTTTCATATCTTCTACAAAACTTAACTGTTTATAATGCCTTCTCCCCCTTAACTGATTAAAAGGGGTCTACTAAAGAAACAGAAGGGAAAGTGATAATAAAAGGAATAGGGAAGGAACTGGAGGAGGAGAGTAATTTTTATTATAAAAATGTTTTTAGTATTCTAATGTAACTTTGGACATCCTGGGTTTTCCCAAGTTACCATTTTTCATTTTTCTACCACTTAAATATTTGCCATACAAACATGGAGGTTCAGTTTTCATAGGTGTAGGTCATACCATAGAGCAACACAAAAATAACTTTAAAAAGCCTTATTTTAAAAGGCACCAATGTGACACAGAAATGAGATCTAAAACAGACTCGGTTTCATGAAAGGCAGAACTATTAAGCGGTTAGTGGAAGATCAGAAAACTTCCTCTGATTTTCTTTGCAGAAACTGGGCTCAGTCTGGTAATCTGGATTTAGTCCAGGCAGAGGGCCAGGTTAAGAGAAATAGAAGTCAGCTGTGCTTTTGATGATTGATTAGGGTCAGAGTGACAAATACGGCCTTGTGAAAGTCCCTGAGAAAATAACCAGTCTGTCAAATACTTATTAAATGTTGCCTAACAGAGAAAAAGGGGACCCTCTAAAGAGGAAGGAATTGGAGCCTCCAGCTTTTTTATACACAATATCCACATAAAAATTAACTATATGAAGCAATAATCAGATGACAATGGAAGGAAGTTGACAATGGAGGGATGACAAAGTATAGTTGATTCAGTGATCCAGATCTAAATTGTGGAGTTAGGCAATGACTCTTAAATTATCCTGATTAATGTGGGGGGGGGGGGGAATGACTGAAAAGGTTGACAAATGGATGAGTAAAGTTTTTGAATAAAAATTTTTATTGTTTTAAAAGGACATTCTAGAACCGAAAAAAAGCCACAATAATTCCCTAGGCCTTGGCCATGTAGCCTGGTTGTTTAGAGTGACATCCTGATAAACCAAGGTTGCAGGTTTGAACCCTTGTCAGGGCACATAGGGGAATCAACCAGTGAATGCATAAATAAGTGGAACAACAAAATCAATGTCTCCCTCTCTGTTTTCTTGTTTATAAAATCAATAAATTTTTAAAACTCCCTAGAAGAGGGAACAGATTGTACCAGAAAACTGAACTGGAAGACAAGATGGTTAGCACATAATAACAATGAAACGGTATGTCTAAAACGTCTTTCAACATATAATTTGGAGTCAGAGAAAATGGAGCAGGAACTGTTTGGAAATTAATGGCCAGCAAGTTTCCAAAATTGGTAAGAGCCCACAGACTAAAGCTCAGGCAATTTCAGAGCTAAATGTTAAAAACTACACTTTATGTGCCCATGGCAAAAATGCTGAAAATCGAAGACGGAAAAGACATCGCTTTTTAAAATAAATTTTATTAACTATGCTATTACAGTTGTCCCATTCCCCCCCACCCTTATTCCCCTCCGCTCTGCACACACCCTCCCAGCTGCATTCCCTCCCTTTAGTTGATGTCCGTGGGTCATACAAGTTCCTTAGCTTCTATATTATACTATTTTTAACCCCCCTGCCTATTTTCTACCTACCATTTATGCTACTTATTCCTTGTACCTTTTCCCCCTCTCCCCCTCCCACTCCCCTGCTGATAACCCTCCATGTCATCTCCATTTCTGTGATTTTGTTCCTGTTCTAGTTTTTATTTTTAGGGTCAGTTGTTGATAGTTGTGAGTTTTGTTGTCATTTTACTGTTCATATTATTGATCTTATTTTTCTTAGATGAGTCCCTTTTACATTTCATGTAATAAGGGCTTACTGATAATGAACTCCTTTAACTTGATCTTATCTGGGAAGCATTTTATCTGCCCTTCCATTCTAAATGATAGCTTTGCTGGATAGAGTCTTCTTGGATATAGGTCCTTGCTTTTCATGACTTGGAATACTTCTTTTCAGCTTCTTGCCTACAAGGTTTCTTTTGAGAAGTCAGCTGTTAGTTTTATGGGAACTTCTTTGTAGGTAACTCCTAAGTTGTCCTGGAGGTTCCTAAGCCTCTCCTAATTCTTTTGAATTTTTGTTCCTTCATTCAGTTCTGGTTGAATGTTTCTTCCTTCTGCTCCAAAATATTGATTTGAGTCCTGGTTTCCTTCCATCACTGTTAGTTCTCTGTACCTTTTCCTTTATTTTACTTTTCATAGCCTTCATTTTTTCCTCTATTTTGTATCCATACTCAACCATTTCTGTGAGCATCCTGATTACCAGGATGTGCATTTGATAGGTTGGATACCTCTTTGTTGCTTAGTTTTTCTAGAGCTTTGATCTGTCATGTGGGCCATTTTTTTTTCCTCTCGGTGAGCCTGTTATGTCATAAGTGGCAGAGCCTTAGGTGTTTACCAGGATGGGGCAACCCACCTGGCTGCATTGTGATGCTATCAGTGGGAGAGGAGTCTGAGAGGGAACAATGCCACTTGCTCCGCTCTCTGCCAGCTTTCAGTTACTTCTGCAGCTACCCACAAGCAAATTGGGCCCTTCTGGTGCTGATTCTCAGGTGGGTGGGTTTGTGTACATTCTAGGACCCTGTGTTACAGACCCTGTGGGTCTCTAACAAACTATGAGGCTGGGAGTTTCAACGCCACAAACTTAACAGATTTTTTCAGTCAGAGGTTTGAGGCTTTATTTTCCCACGCTGAGACCCTGGGTTTCACAGTCTGTCTCACTCTCAGTTGTTCCTCCCACTTCGTCTGCATGCAAATGTGGGACCCATTGCTCTGCCAGCCTTGCCCTCTCCACAGCCGCCACCTCACCTGCTGCACCAGCTGCTGCCTTGCTGTGAGTCCTCCCCTGGCTGCCCATCTCCACCCCTCCCACCACTCTGGATGAATGTTTGTTCTTTAACTCCTGATTGTCAGACTTCCATACAGTTTGTTTTTCTGGCAGTTCTGGTGTTTTTTTGTTTTTAAATTTGTTATCCCTTTGGTTGTGCAAGGAGGCACAGTGTCTACCTATGCCTCCGTCTTGGTTGGAAGTCAGGCACATTACTTTCAGTTGAGCACCAATAAGACTAAAGTCGCCTCGATAGAAGTGATCAAGGACAGAAGACTGATGGAATGACATCTTCAAAGTGCTGAAGTGGGGGAAAATGCAAATGAAAAGGTTCTGGTGGTATAAAGATGGCTCCAGACAAAAGCTAAGGTACTTGGTCACCAGCAGGCCTTCAGTAAATATTGTAAACACTAAGGAATGCTGAAGTGGTTCTCAGACAATTTAACTACTGTGGTCATTGAGAGTTCCAACAGTTTCATTCCTGAGGGACTCTGAGCATTAAATCTTAAGTTCCCTCTAAGATCCGTAAGATTTGGAGTTTTGAATATCTCAGGTAAAAGCAAGTAGTGTAGTGGTCCCCAACATTTTTGGCATCAGGCTGGTGTCAAAGAAGATGATTTTTCCACAGACGGGTTGGGGCGGGTGGCTTTGTGAAGATTCAAGCACATTACATTTACTGTTCACTTTATTTCTATTACTGCATTGTAATACCTAATGAAACAATGATACAGCTCACCATAATGCAGATTCAGTGGGAGCCCTGAGCTTGTTTCCCTGTAACTACACGGTCCCATCTAGGGGTGATGGGAGACAGCGACAGCAAGAAGTGTGTTGCTTATGTCCAATCTACTTGGTAATCTCATTTTGGTTGCTGTCACTGCAGAAAACTCTTCTTCACAAAAGATAGGATGTTGGAAATGGAAGTAGGCTTTTCACTGCTTTTGTGGCAGTCTTAGGATATTCCACCTTTAATCTAAAATGTAGGGAGATTTGAAGTTGTCTCAAACATAATTTTAGGCCACTGTCATTTGCAAGCTCAACAGTTGATCCTCTTCTAGCACGGACAAAGTTGATTCACCTGGCTTATTCACAAATGGGTCACAGATCCATTCCTTTCCAATTCAATGGTCTTTTGTGTTTGGGCAGTAATGCTCAAACTCTTGAAAGCTGAGATAGATGATCATGCACCAGCAGGGAGAAACAGCCTTGGTTCAGTGCCTTTCAAAATCTTTGCTAATGTATGAAACAGGTAAAAAATCCCAGTGTTCACTTGTCACCCCCATATTTCCAGTTTGGCTTTAAATACAGCCCCTTGATCTGCCAACTTGAGCACAGTTGTCATTCTCCCAGGAGATGACAGATTGAGTTCATTGATCAGGTTGAGTCACACAAGTAAGTTTTGTGACCCATCCTATATCACTGAAATGTGCTGCCAGTAACAAACTATAGTAACAAACTATATTTTCTAGTAACAAACTATTTTCTAGTAACAAACTATAGAAATGATCCCTGAAAGTATAGTCTTTGGTGACATTTTCTAAAAGAAATGTCTGGAACAGCTCTTATAACTCAAAAACTCTGGCCAGTGATCTGTCTTTAGAAAGTCACCTCACTTCTGACTGTGTGCTCAGAGAAGTATGTGCTCTGTCCATTTCACAGAGCTGTGCACAAATGTGAATTAAGGGCATGTACTTTAATGTGGTTGATAACTTTAATCACATCCTACAAAACATTAAGTTCAGGTGACATTTTTTTGGCTAGCCAATGTTTCTCTATGGATAACACAGTATAGACTCACATTCAGAAGCGACCTCTTTGACCTGAGTAGTGAAACCAGAAAGCCATCCAGTCATGGCAGCCACTCCATCCATGCATATACCAACACAAAATGACTGATTCAGTTTTCCTGATATGTAATCATTCCAAGACTTGAATAGTTCAACTGTGGCATTGGTAACAAAAGTGCATGTAACATATCTTCATGCTCATCCTCCTGAAAAATATATCACACAAAAACAAGCATTTTTGCCTTTTCCTTGTCAACATCGGTAGACTCATCAACCTGGATTGTGTATCATAGTAATTTATAACTCCTCTAACAATTGTGCTACAATATCCTTTGCTATTCATTAGTTCATGTAGTTATGGTGCTAGCTGAAAAAGGAATGCATGCCACCTTTTGAACTGCAGCCTCCTGAAAGTTCACAACAAATGTCCTTAGCAACAGTCAGTATCAACTCTTCACCAACAGTAAAGGGCTTTTTAGCTTTAGCAATGCTACTAGCCACTAAGAATGATGCTCTCAGTGCAGACACATTTGATGAAGTGGTGGCCTTCAGTAATTGCTTCTGTTCTTGGTCACTTTTTTTTTTAACTCCAAAGGTCTATATATTTTTTAAAGATGTTATTTATTTATTTTTAGAGAGGGAAGGGAGGGAGAGAGAGAGAAACATCAATGTGCGGTTGCTGGGGGTTATGGCCTGCAATCCAGGCATGTACCCTGTCTGAGAATTGAACCTGTGACACTGGTTTGCAGCCCGCGCTCAATCCACTGAGCTACGACAGCCAGGGCTAAAAGGTCTATATTTTAATGCAGGATGCATGGTCTCCATGAGGTGAAGCAGTTTTGAAGTTTCATGGCTTCATTGGTTAGATGGTCACCACATATTACAAAAAGCAGGCTTGGAGAATGTGAATCACCTCTTGAAGTGAACCCGTAACTTAAAGTCAGAGTCTTGGTATTTTCTTTTAAATGCAGCTTTTTGTTTGCAGTCTTAGAGTCTTCTACTGTCGTATCATTGGGGCTTTCCCCCTTTTCCAAGAAGCTCTCCAGTGACGCTTGTTTTTTACTCATTTTGGCTAGGGTTAGTTTGTGGGCTTACTGAAACTGTGACTTAGACAAGGGCACAGTGCGGGAAAGAAGTGTGGACAGAAATGGTAAATAAAGGGTGGGTCACATGTGGGCTAACATAAGTGTCAAATTCTGACTTAAAGCCTACGAACAGACACAGCTGCACAATTGAAGTACATCAACTCACTTGCCACTATGAAGCCTGCCACCAGATGCAGCTTAATTGTCACCACTCACTGATAGAGTTTTGATATGAATATGCAAGCAATTGATTTATTATGGTCTCTGTGCAGTCAAACCTCTCTGCTATTTACAGCCACTCCCCAGTGCTAGCGTGAGATAGCATCACCACCTGAGCTCTACCTCAGATATCAGGCATTAGATTTTCACTGGGGGTCACCACCTAGATCCCTCACATGCGCAGTTCACAGTAGGGTTCGTGCTCCTATGAGTATCTAACATTGCCAGTGATCTGACAGGAGGCGGAGCTCAGGGGTAATGCGAGAGATGGGGAGGGGCCATAAATACAGATGAAACTTCACTCGCTCACTTGCCGCTCACCTCCTGCTGTGCAGCTTTGTTCCTAATAGGCCACCGTCAGATACGGGTCCATGGCCCAGGAGCTCGGGATCACTGAAGTAGAGGCTGTGAGATCATTGTTGAGACTAGCCTGCCTCTTCCAGCAGCTCTGGTTGAAACAGTCAAGTCACCTATAGGCTACTGTGGAAAGTAAAGTTGAAAACGTAATGGCTAAGGTGGATAAAGTAGGAAAGACTTCACTTACCAGTCAGTATTCAGGTTCCTTTGAAGAATTCATCTACAAGAGAAACTGTATGTGTAATAATGTGAACAGGCCTTAATCTGGAAAGACACATTTGTACATCAGAGAATTAGTACTGGAGAGAAACAATATAACTTGAAAATTCATTCAAGCTCCACCTTAGTGAATATCTGCATTTAAGAGAGAAATCTTATTCATGCATCAGGTGTGGGGAGGCATTCACCAAAAGATCACTTATCCTTGTACACTGTAATGCTCACACTGGAGAGAGACCTGTAGCTGTACTGAATTTGAAAAGGCTTTCACCTCTAAGTTAGTATTGATTGAGGTTCAGAATATTCACACAGCAAGAAGCCATTTGAATGCAGTGCCCATGGATAAGCCTTCACCCAAAAGTTTCAACTCAGCGGACACCAGAATTTCATACTGAAGAGAAAGTGTTAAAGGCCATCAACCATAGGTCAAACTTGCTTATTGAATGGTAGTCAGCCTCCAAGATGGCCCCCAATGGTACTGGCTCCAGGTATTCACATTTTTTGCGTGGTCTACTTCATTTTTACCAAGATTGGTCTTGTATGACCAACTGCAAACAGCAGAAGTGATGGTATGTTAGATCCAAGACTAAATTATAAGACTGGTTTTTCCTTTTGGGCATCCACTATATCTATGATCTCTTGCTCTGAGGGAAGCAAATTTTCATACTGTGAATGGCCCTATGGAAAGTCTCACATGGGTGAGGAACTGAAGTCTGATTAGCAACAGAGGAACTAAGGTCTACCAATAATTATTTGAATGAGCATGGAAGCTGCTTCATCTTCCCCAGCTGGCACCTTGAATGAAAAAACACCAGAGAACCTGAACCAGCCTACATACCCAGCTAAGCTATTCCCAGATTCTTATCCCTCAGAAATGTGATAAGCGTTTTTTTCATCTGCTGGGTTTGAGGGTAATTTATGCAGCAATAAATAACAAGTACAATTGCACATTATAGTTTATAATGGGGAGGTACTTCGTGAATGTGTACACTTCCAAGTCACAACTCCAAGTGTATCAGAATATTCACAGTGAAACGGAAACCATACATATGTACTGAGTAGGAAAACACAAGTGCTAGATTCAATCTCCATATACAGGGTCCAGCAGAAGCAAGACCTGCTTGAATGTGGTTGGTAGGGTAATAATATGGGTGTAATAATTTATAGTTTTAATTTGAAACATTTCACCTAAAAGTGTCATATGGTTTGCTTGAGTGTGATATTATTATGTTACAGAATTACATGCTTATGATTTGATAATAAAAGACTGTAATAAAAAGGGGGCATTATTTGTGCTGCACCCTATATATCAGAAAACTCACTGGAGTGAAAAACTATTTGTATTATTTTGCATGTAGGTGTCTAGATCTCCCAACATCATTTGTTGAAGAGGCTATTTTCACTCTATTTTTATGCTTCTGTGCCCTTTGTCAAATATTAATTGACTGTAGAGACTTGGGTTTATTTCTGGGCTCTCTATTCTGTTCCATTGATCTATGTGTCTGTTCTTATGCCAGTACCCAACTGTTTTGATTACAGTGGCCTTGTAATATAGTTTGATGGCAGGAATTCTGATCCCTCCTACTTTGTTCTTCTTTCTCAAAATTGCTGTGGCTATTCGGGGTCATTTATATTTCCATATACATTTTTGAAATGTTTGTTCTAAATCTGTGAAATATGTCATTGATGTTTTACTAGGGATTGCATTGAATCTATAAATTGTTTTGGGTAGTATGTACATTTTGATGGTGTTAATTCTTCCCATCCATGAACATGGTACATGCTTCCATTTGTTTGTGTCTTGCTTAATTTCTTTCTTCAGTGTTGCAGAGTTTTCTGAGTACAGGTCTTTTACCTCCTTGGTTAGGTTTATTCCTAGGTATTTTGTTTTTCTTGTTGCTATGTCAAATGGGATATTTTTCCTGATTTCAGTTTCTGATATTTCATTGTTGGTGTACAAAAATGCCTTCAATTTCTGAATATTGACTTTGTATCTCACCATTTTGCCAAATTCACTTATTAGCTTGAGTAGATTTTTGGTGGAGTTTATAGGATTATCTATGTACACTATCATGTCATCTGCAAACAATGACAATTTTGTTTCCTCTTTTCCAATTTGGATGCCTTTTTTTTTTTCTTGTCTGATTGCTGTGGCTGGGATTTTCAATACTATGTCAAATAGAAGTGGTGAAAGTGGGCATTCCTGTTTTGCTCCTGATCTTCGTGGGAAAGCTTCTAGTTTTTGGCCATTGAGTATGATGGTGGCTGTAGGTCTCTCATATATGGCTTTTATTATGTTGAGGAATGCTCTCTCTGTTCCCACTTTGCTGAGTGTTTTTATCATAAATGGGCACTGTACCTTATCAAATGCTTTTTCTGCATCTATTGATATGATCATGTGATTTTTGTCTTTTGTTTATGTGAAGTATTACATTTATTGATTTGCAAATATTGTACCATCCTTGCAACCTGGGATGAATCCTACTTGATCATGGTTATGATCTTTTTAACATATTGCTGGATGCAGTTTTGCCAATATTTTGTTGAGGATTTTAGTGTCTATGTTCATCAGCAATATTGTCCTGTAGTTTTCTTTCTTTGTTGTGTCTTTATCTGTTTTAAGGATTATGATGATGCTGGCTTCATAAAAAGTTTGGGAGTCTTCCATCTTCTTGGGTTTTTTGGAATAGTCTGTGAAGGATAGGAGTTAGTTCTTCCTTAAATGCTTTGTAAAATTCTCCTGTGATACTGTCTGGTTTGAGGTTTTTGTGTGCCATGAGTATTTTGATTACTGCTTCAATTTCATCAGCTGCTATTGGTATGTTCTGGCTTTCTTCTTCTTTTTTATTCAGCTTTTA